TCCGTTGCATAACAGCTCCTATAGCAAAATCTGATGCATCAACCGCTAAACTAAGCGTGGCTGATGGGTCAGGATGAGCGAGAAGTGTAACTTCAGCGAGAAGCGTTTTGATCATTTTGATGAACGTCCACAAATACCGTCGTCGGTTGCTCAGGTTGACCGCGAGTTGTCGTGTACCGTAGGTGGGAATGGCTGAGCCATTTTCAGCGCGTAGTCAAAGCATTGTAGCTTGTGACTTGATGCTACCATGTGGTACGAGAGAAACTTGGGCACCTGTATCCACTAGGTACCTAGCGTTTGTGCGATAATCGTGCGCGTAAAATAAACGGCCAACCTGGAAGACAGGGCCGGATTTGGAGTTTCACGCCTTGTATGAGCACGGGGCTTGAAAACGGCGGGCACCAGACCCAAAGGATCGATGGAACCAGCACCAACCCTCACTCGCTTCCAAAGCCGCCTTTCGGCGTGGCTTGGAAGATTCCCATGTTGGGCGAGTGTTGACGGCTTTTCGAGAGCGTGAGTAGGCTCGAGGGACGTAGGGTTGGGGTACGTTACAACGATCTGGAAAACTAAGACGTGTGTGAAAACACCCTCCCCTATCACCTTGAGCCGAGGATTGACTAGCGTCGATATCCACGTTTGAACGTGACATTGAGGCAACTACGTAGTTGTCTCGATTGCCAGTCCTTTCCAAAATTTTGTCTGCTATGAGGGCCACCTGGTTAGGTGGTGAGTCCTCGAGCAGGGCCGTGATGGTGGGTTGGATATGTGCTGGTAAAGAATCAAACCATAGCTCTTTAACTATTTCTCAGTCGGCAGCTGTAGGTCCTGCAAGAGATTGCAGGCGCGTGAGGTGTTGACTTGGTTTAGCATCACCCAAAGGGTGACGTGCTAACAATGTCCTTAATCGTTCCTCCCTCGTTGGGAGGAAATATCGAAGAATAGCCTCTTTGAGGCGATCGTAGGCGTTATGGGCATTTGAATTAAGGACCACCTCACGTACAGCTACTATATGATCTCCGAGTAATGATTCAAGAGCAAAAGAGTACTTTTGCTTTTAGCTCAAAATACGGCGAGTCTCGAATTGAGACTCTATTGCCGCGAACCAAACCTCTGGATCGTGGGGAATAAACGGCACAGGTCGAAAATAGATAGCCTGTACATCTGAGTCTACGATATTAATGCTGCTTTTATCGCTATCCGTCATGTCGTGTATATAATATATTAAAAATTAATATGAAAATATACGACAGACGTGGATAGATAAACTAAAGACTCACCGGATTGACTTCTTTGGAAGATTTGACTAGAGGTTGATGCGTGTTACCAAGTGTGGTTCACCAATTGTAGGAGATTTGACAGAAGTTGAGGCGTGTTCCAAGATTTGGCTCACCAATTGTAGCGTGGTGTCGAAATGAGCTTGACTATGAACACCGCTACAAGACTACGTGCCAATTAACCAATAAGATCATCGTAGACCAATATCAGAAGGCAGATAATAGTAGTAGTTGAAATATATTTGCTGGCAATCTGGTGGTATCGAAAGAATACCGAGATCGTGCCAAAGGAATACAAATGCGATCGGCAAGGAAAGGTACGTGCGTAGTCGCAAACCGCGTAGAAGTAATGGAGTACAATGGAAGACCAGTATGGCTGTCATTAGCACAGTTAAACAAACGAGCACAGTAAAACAGTCACTGGTAAAATTGGTTATAATAATAATTGTTTTCATTGAACCAATCGCGTTCTGTTGACAAAAGTAGGTCACTACAAACACTTGCTTTAAATTTACGTATTTTTATACTTCAGGGATCAAGGAAAATGTTTTGTAATCCCGATATCAATCATCGAAACCCTCCAGATCAACATTTACGTTTGATAAAGCCCCATGTTTGTACCTCATACATGCTTCACAACTATGACTACCACTTGCCTTGAACTTTCCCGCGCAACTGTCTTTCAAAATAATGAATGGGGATAGTGTTAGCAAAAGGTTGTTTGTCTTTTTATCACTAATGATCTATTCCTAATTTAGATTGCAGAAGGAACTAATGGAGTTGCTTGTAAGTTTTCGAGCCATTGGTCTTAATTTGTATGTCAGTTTTACTATCCCTTTGTGTTCAGTCGAATCCACACCATATTCCCCGTTGACATTACGGTCATTGTATCCACTTAGTGTTATTTATTACACATGCATGTATCTCCCGTTTCGAAGTCCTGCTTAAATGAGTATGCAAGGTATTTATACTCAACGTTTTAGGGGATACATTCTTATCTTACAATATAATCCCCAGATCCATCTTTACGGTTAGTTCCACACTTGAACTGCAGTCATGGCTGCACTAATATATACTCAGCATACTTCACGTGCCCAATTCATAAGTGATAAACTCCCCGATTATTAGATCTCAGCCAATTCCCAGTAGCTGCAAACCAGCTGGTCCATTAACCTAGGTTAATGGACCAAAATAACAACCCTGAGTTACAGTGCTTTCAGTTGCTGACATAGGTATTTATAGACAAGGGGAATGAATTCGAAATTAGTGTATATTGATATCTGATTGTAATAAGCCACAAGAACTACTTGTTTCAGTTCCTTGACAGGTCATACTTGGTGCCAAAATCATTATTCCGTTAATAAGAGGCACTGATTTTACAATCTGCTAACAAAGTTGTTTATTGATGTCTTGAGATGCTTTATCTGTAATCCCTCAGGTGTCCTATTACGTGGCTTATCAGTAAGTGTTACTGATCTTAATCTCCTCTTTAGTTATCGAAATACTCGGATTTCAACCTTTGAGTTGCAGACTCAAACCCCATTTGATTTGCAGTGATTTTGGCAATCAGGTCCAAAATATTTACTTAATTATTAAGTAACAGTAGTCGATCCCCATCTATCCTTCACCAATTGGTGTGTTCACGCCATCTATACAACGTCTAAATATATTAGTTCAGACAACCGATTGTTGTCACTGATACCTTACACAATGAAACTCAAAGCCAAGTACGTGGTAAACGATACGTTATAATTCATAGTCATAATCCTGTTACCCTTTGCTTCTAGAGTAAGTTTATTGATGTATCAGCTTGGTGACTGGGCCTCAAGAAAATGTACAACTCATCGCCTTGGAATGTAGAAATTAGTCAATGGGTGATCTTTTGAAACCCCTCAGAGTGCATTGAAAGCTTGACACTTACATGGTCCAGACAATATAATAATTGTATTTTATTCCACTGTTTATCGTTTGTATATATATATATATATATATATATATGCCTAGTTTCCAAATTAAATAATTGTGCGGACCGAGCCAGTTAGCTTACCGAGAAAAGCAGTGAATTTGGAATCTAAAGTGGCCAGACTTCATACGAACCGAAAGAATACCCTATTAGTTTTACTTGATGTTAATTGTTTATTACAGATGTCTAACGACAAAAGCGTGACGGCATTCCCAGATGGTGAAAATCTCACTCGGTGGCTAGCGTCTATACGTGGTCCTGATGGAACGGTAAGTATATCAGTTTCTACATAAATGTCCATTCTTGATGCCGTTGTCTGATCCTCATTTTTTTCTAATCATTGATATCTTACTGATTTTGTCTCTTAAAGGTATATGAAGGTCAGCAATACAAACTTTCACTTGAGTTTGGCCCTAACTATCCATACAGTCCTCCAAATGTGCGTTTCGTTTCTAAATGTTATCATCCTAATGTTGATACTCGTGGAGTAATATGCTTAGATATTCTGAAAGAAATGTGGTCTCCTTTACTGACTGTAGAAAATCTTCTATTATCCATTCGAAGTTTATTAGCAGGTTAGTGTCTTAACATCGTATCTATATTTCTGAATTCTGTTAACTGATTGTGCACAAAACAGCGTAGTCCTAGAATGTCTAGCAGCCTCGTCCAACGTGTGTACTAAGAAATTATATATATATATATATATATATATATATATATATATATATATATATATATATATATATATATATATATGTTTGAGCTCCTGTGAAATTGAACTATACACCTGATTGCATGTCCAGTGCTTCATGTCGGTAGAATAAGGTAAAGAGCATAGGTGTTTTAAAGTTGTTGGTACTAACAAATTAGAGTTCATTGTAATGATGAGGCTCCATATATCTGCACTTCATTCATTTAGTTTGACTAGTAAGTATGTAAACCTAATCCAGGATAATTCACTTTGTATTGTTTTACTTGAATCTTCCCATTGATGTTTAGGACAAACATCATACTGGCTACCTATCAGTGGTCAGACAGTGTGAATATATCATTTTTACAGTAGGTCTGTCGCTACTCAAATAGCTCGGTAGTGACACCTCGGAGTGACTTGGCTTTGAAGGTCATGAGGAGTATCAGATCCCTCAAGACTAAGTACGCCATGTCAACATGTACTAGCTGATATACAATGTAATCGCGAAATTCTCTTCTGACCACTTCTAACTATTTAGCATCGAAATAGTGCAGTCAGTGTTGGGTCACTTAAACTAGTGGCTAAATCAATACTAATTACTAGATAAAAACTACATGGGTCACTACATAGTGATCAATCAGTGTTAAGCATTCCACAACTGTCATGCGTTATTTGAAATGCTCTTCTGAACCGAATGCTTTTATTAATGTTTCTTGTCCGTTACAGAACCCAATAATGATAGTCCTTTAAATGGGCAAGCAGCCCAACTCTGGTCTAATCCTTCTGCATTCCGTGCTGAAATGATGAAGTTTCAAGCATCATCGTCTAACAACTAGTCTATGTAAATATTTCAGTGTCTGGCTATTGTGTACAGTCAAATTTTCTCCTTAACAGTCTGCAAACTTTTGTACTATCCATTCTCTTTCCCTCTCTTTTCTAGTTTCTATATTCTACTTAAATCCATGTATTTATCCAAACCCAAGACATACTCATACTCAAAAGACTCGCGTATAAATATTATATACATACAAAATAAAATGTTCTATGAAACATTATATGAGTTTTTTTTTCAACTCGTCGTAGTGGTCAACAAACCATTTCCAAATGAATTCGTTTGATTTGTTGTATTGTAAATTTGATTTATTGTGTTTATAAGTCGTTGATATTGACGTTTATCAGATCGTGAAAGACATGATGCAAGTCCAGTTAACTGAGATCGTGAATATTTAGTCCCATAGTTAGTTAACCAATGTTCCCATTCGTGTATAGGTATGTAGAATGCCTGAATATATTCAATTACATAATCCAGTCTAGGAAATGATCTAGAACAAAAATGTCAATAGTGAATTAATTAATGTTGTAGAGATGAGCAGAAATAAAGTAAAATCTAACACTAAAAAAAACAAAACGGAGTTTTCATAACCGAACTATTGGTATCTTTGGTCTCAGACCAAGGATTTCACTTATCTACTATCTAGTAAGCTCAACAAAATTCAAACAAATTGTAGTATGCCTAAATAAGAATTCACGCGCCCAAGGTCATTCCAACGAATATATATGTATATTGAGAAATACGATGAACAGTGGTGACGATAAAAAGACAGGTATGCTTTTAGTTAGTCTGTTTCTAAAATGACAAGAGGTAAGTTTATAAAGTGAAACGAGATGCTTTTCATCCCGTTAGTATTACCAGAAACTCCCACCGTTTAGTCTTATTTCAACGCAGTTTAGAATGGCAGAAAGGTTAAACTCATTTAGCATGCCAAATCATGTTTTGTGTATTCCTTCGTAGGAGCTTGGAATCCTAAAGTTTCTCAACTGACTTATAATTAGTCTGCACGGTTTTTAGTCATAACGAATGGAGTTCACTGAGAAGAAACAGATATTCTAAGCGCATTTGCCTCATAATATTCTGCACTTGACAGTATATTTCTTTAAAGCGAAAAGAAACAACCCATGAAGATAATTTCAAAGAATCTTCATTTGATATTATTCACATAGCCTATGGGTGACAGGATTTAATGTTCTTTTAAGCTTAAAATATCTAAACTATTATTATGATTAGGAAACTGGTTACATTGACTCTATTCTATCTAATGTTGAAGATGTCGACTATAAGTAACAACTAGATTGGCGGTCGAATTGAGTATAAAGTGAAAGTTAGTGAAATATAGAACCAAAATAACTAAGGAATCTAAGACAATGTATTAAAACACAGTTTTGCTAAAGATTGGACTATGTATGCTAGTAGTCCCGATCGTTGTTGTTACTTTAACGTGGTGGTCGGGTTTGCCTATCATAATGAATCAATCGAACTATACTGGTTGGAACAATCGTTCCTCAAGGTCCTATCATGCCAGACAGGTCAGTTGAAAAGCGGTAAAACTAAAAGCAACAAACCCAAGGTCCGAGGGTGAAGTCGTACTGCTGACTGCGTGTGACGGCAGTAGTGTTTCCTTCAGACAGCCAGCGTAACAGCGATGCTGCCTTCCCACAAGGAGGAACGGGGTTAGAAAAGGTCGACCCTAAAAATGAATACCTCGCCTTATCCCACAGATATCCGTCTCCGGCGGTATGGTCTCAACAAGTACGGATCTAACACAGAAATTACTCACTGAAACGTCGCGAGCTACTGACCTCCAGCAGTTATCTCTTGGCCACTGCGGTCACGCTCCCAGGTCACTAAGACCACCCCTAACCCAATTTCCTTTTCAGATAACTCTACAAGGACCCCTCCACGGTGTGGGCGACCGGGAAGTGATAACCGCCCTCACACTTCTAACTCAAGGTCACTATTTATAATCGATCTCCCTCTTCAATTCCTATTACTCCCCCTACCTCGACTATCAACTATATACTTCCTCCTCAAGTGTCACCATGACCAATGATTTTAGTGCGCAAAACACTCCCAGGTGTACTGAAACCTCGCTCCAAATTACACATTGGAGCCTTCAACGTACGCACTCTGTGTCAAAGCGATCAGTAGGCCTTTTTGGCTAAAACCCTAGAACTTTGTACCATTAGTGTATGCTGTGTCTTCGAAACACGCATACAGGATCCTAGTGTATTCATCCACTTAACCTCACTTCACCAAAACGGAAAGCCGACGAGACACACCTTCCACGTATCTGACGACCCGACAGAAAGTTCTGGTGGGTGTAGATATAGCACTAAGTATGGGGGCAGAAGAAGCACTATTAGAATGCTGTTCGGCTAAACGGCTCCGTAAGAACTCGGAAAGACAGGGACACATGTTGCCTTCTCATCATTTCTGCCTACGCTCCCACTAACTGTAGCCCGGATGAAATAAAAGATGAATTTTACAGAAAGCTTTCTCAACTTCTTTAAAAGTTAAACGATCAGAAATAGTACTCGCAGCAGGTGACTTTAATGCCCAAATAGGTAGCTTAAACCAAGAAAGACATTTAGGTGGGTATTTTGGTATTCCGGCCCAGCGAACAGATAATGGTGATCGCCTACTGCAACTGTTTGGACTCCGATCATGTTCTATTACGTGCATGCATTTGCTTACGCCTCGTTGGTCGCAGAGAAACCACATCACGAAGACCCATTCCAGTTGAGCTGGTTGACGCGAAAACCAATAGCGGATTCCAGGAACAACCAATGGATTTCTACTAAGTCTCTTGTACTGATAGATTCTCGTGAACTCATCCCGTTAGGTTCCGGACACGATGAAGAGCGAAAACGAATCAGATCTAGGTTAACTAAAAGTCTACAGAAAGATTGTGAGCAGTGGTGAGCAATGAAAGCAAAAAAGATCGAAAAGGCAGCGACTGTAGGTAACATCAGACAGCTTTTCAGACTAACAAAAGAAACAAGAATTAAGTGGTCCTGTGTAAGACGACCTCGGAAAAAGATGCCACTTATCTGTTCTCAGCTTAGACGATTAGAACGGTGGGCGGAACACTTGGGAGAACAAATTAGCTGGCTTTCAGCCACTCTAAAACTATCCACCATTCCCAGACAACCTGAATAGAACATTGAAGTAGGTCCTCCGACACTAGTTGAAGTTCAAAAAGCTATAGCTAACCTGAAACGAGGAAGGGCAGCTGGTCCAGATGGGTTGTCTCCCGATGTTTTTAAGTATGGTGGTCTAATTCTAACGATTAGGTTGACTAATATTTTAGCTAAAATCTGGGAGTTGGACGTAATCCCATCTAACTGGTCGCAATCACTGAATGTCCCAATATTTAAGAAAACCATCCTGTGATAACCATAGAGGGATTAGTTTGACTAACATAACATCTAAATTACTAGTCTCAATAATTATCGGACGCCTAACAAAGACACGTGGACTACAGACACGAGAAAATCAGGCTGGCTTCAGACCTGGTTGTGGCTGCATCGACCGCATATTCACCATTCGTCAGGTTATAGAAGAAAGACATACTTATCGGCGTCCGACAATGGTGGTCTTTCTTGACTTAAAAGCAGCATTCGATTCTGCATAACGAGAGGTTCTGTGGTAGTGTCTATCATTGAAAGGTGTACCTCAGAAGTACATAAACCTTGTGAAGGCTCTTTACTCGAACACTACTGGTCTAGTCAGAACTTATGGCGAACTTTCAACTAAATTTGCAACCTCAAGTGGTGTCCATCAAGGCTTTCCACTTTCTCCATTTTTGTTCGACTTCATCATTGACGTACTGATGAAAGTAACGTTTTCGTCGACTGAATTTTCAAGAATCGATCTCCTTCCAGGAGGTCCACTTATCGACTTAGAATACGCAAGTGACATAGACTTGTTTGGTGAAGATGCCGACAAAATGCAGAGTATTTTGGTAGCACTGAGCAACATTACCAGGATGTTTGGGATGCGTTTCTTCTCCTCTAAATGCAAGTTGTTGCTTCAGGACTGGTCTGGGTCAACACCGGAACTAAGGATAGGGAGTGAAGTAGTCGAACGCGTTGACAACTTCACTTATCTTGGAAGTCTGATCAGCCCTAATGGTTTGATGTCTGACGAAATCTCTGCACGGATTCGAAAAGCTCGTTTGGCATTTGCCAACTTACATCACCTATGGGGAAGGCAAGATATCCGTCTGACAATAAAAGGACGAGTAAACTGAACAGCAGTTCGTTCTGTCTTACTTTATGGCTGCGAAACATGGCCATTAAGAGTAGAAGATACTCGTAAGCTACAAGTATTTGACCACAGATGCCTTAGGAATATTGCTTGCGTCTGCTGGGATCATCAGATAAGTCATAGTAAGGTTAAACGCAGCGTATTAGGGGATGATGGTAAATTAGTTGATGAAGCTGTGAATCTTCATCGATTGATATGTTTGGGGCACGTGTTACGCATGCCCGACTACCGATTACGATGGTATGCAATACTGAATAGTGTTGGAGACGATTGGACGAAAGTTAGGAGCAGCCAAACCAAAACGTGGCATAAGTCCTTGAAAAGTCACTAACTTCTGGTCTGTGCCATGATGGTAGATGCAGACTATTTATTTATTTATTTTAACACAAGGAGGCACCAAATACATATGCGCCACACAAATCTCAATTGATTTGTGTGAGGGCTGTGATACTGCTCGGGTGCCCGAACCGAAGCAGGTGGTTTTCTTAGGGGACCACACCCCGAGCCTTTGACCTGAACGTCTGATCCACAAGGCAGTGGAGCATCGTGAGGAGATGCAGTCCCATGGTAGCCGGTGACCAACGATTGGTTCATACGCCATTTGTTCCTTCAGGATACTGGAGCCCATGTGCACCATCGGTTTGGGATCCGGTTAAAGCGCCGGACATTCGCTTTTCATCCTCTCATTTTCGTAAACAACAGTAATTCCACGAGAAGGCAGTGAGTAGGAATTTCCTGGCAGGGGCTATATACGCGTGGCCATGTGAGAGCATTTCGAGAGGGAGAGCGGACTCTCCCCACTCTCGGCCGTACCAGGGTATTTGGGGGCTCTATGTGATGGTAAGATTTAGGTGTTGCAACTTGGACCGATATGTATATGTACCTGGTCCTACATCGTAATTGACTGACTGATGTTAGTAGTAGTCTATTCTTAATTAATAGCGATGTGATGTGTGTACTAATTAAACTCCAAATAAGTTCAGTAGAATGATTTGAGTAGTTGGAAGTAGCTGAAATTCATGTCTTTCCAAATGATTTACTGATGTGCAAATAATTGTTATACTTTACTTTTGTGTTCCTGATAATAAGGACAATATCACCAAAGTAAACTGAAGGGATGTGTTGAGTTTTAGTTAATACCTCTTGATCAGGAATCAAACACAAGGGTTTTAGGTATCGAGGCGAGAGGAGTACCCTTAGAATAATAAGTTGCAACTCAGTTGTCTATATTTCTAACTCTAGCCACTTACCTATATAGCGCAATCATCGTTCAATATTATTGGTGGTAACAAAATCACTACCGATAGATATGACTGAACTTTATTAGTCATGACTCCTCATCTTTACCTTGAAGTTAATCACTGGGATGCATAAAACTTACCTAATTGGCTAAATTATCACGAGATTTAATCGATTAAACAAAGAAAACACTGGAAGTTTGCAATTTTTATCGAGTAATTCACTACAAGAAAGAATTGTTGAATTCTTAAATTAGGATTTGTATGATAATTTAGCAATTAAAGACAATATTTATTAAATTGAATTTTTATTTTTTAAACATACCGTATTTTACTAGCGGATTGAGCGTATACAGCTAAAGTTTGTATGTCTAATAACATTTGACCACGTCCTTCATCTGAACATTGTTGTACACGACTTAAAGCTTCAAGTAATTGTGATGCCAAACAAGATAATAATGCTTTCCAAATAACAATCATAAATACATGATCTCGTAAATGAAATTCTTTTGATATGTTTTGTAAAATTAATGATAAAGGATGAAATACATTAATATTTATATCATAAACATATGAATTTGGTGTGTTAGCCACTTCTTTAATTGACCAATTCATTGCACATATATGCATAGTTAATATGTCAATTGAATCGGAAGTTGATACAATTAAGTTGTTATGTACTGATGATGGAGATGGTGAGCTTGTATTGTTATTATTATTTGGAATAGACGATTCTTTGTCGATAGTTTGTTGTTGCTGATTTGTATTGGATCCTATTGGCCATATTTTACTGAAACTTGAAGTAATCGATGCACTATTCGTTGCTGTTAACTGCTTACAATTTTTCGTCACACCAGTCATTCTAAAGAGATAGAAAAGCGAATTTCTTATGATTACAACAATTCGATTTAAATCTTTTATAAATTTGGCTAGTAAATAGTTCTTGTTAGTTACAGATAGCTGTATGGATAGAATAATCCCAAGTAAGAGTGGATTAGTTTCGTTTTTTATATAGATAGTCGAACTTATTTTGAAACTATTTAAGTCAACAAAACGTTTAGCTATATATATCATAGTGGCAAAATCCAGCTGACTGGATGGAACTCGTGTTTGTTTGAGTCCTACCATACACGGAAATTCAGTTGGAGAATGTTAAAACTAAAACAAATGATCGTGGCATGTTGGTGGATTCTTACTACTGACTATACTAGGTTGTGACGCCAGTAAGGAATTTCCTTTAGACAATACTGCACGAATTTCCGTCTTCCGAGTTCAGACTCTTAAAATACAGTGCTAACGCACCTCTAGAACTTCTCTCAAAAAGTTCTCCGTGTGATGACCTTCACATAGTTGTACCTTGGATACTATTGTCGTGACGCTTCTGAGCCGCTAAGGTCACTAGTAGTTCAACTTCCTCTCCAGGCACCTCAGAAATGAGTATCGTTTTATGATTTGAGCGATTGGGAAGTGACAAAAATCCAAATTCACCTTGTTCGTGATACATAAATTTAATTCACACTCGACCAACTTACTTTGCGATTATGATATTCAGCAAATGTGGTGCCAGCTCGTTTGCACATGGTTCGCGGATTTGTCTTGCTGCCATTAAAGATTGTTCACGGAATACAAGTGCTAGACCACGTTTATTATCCGGAAGACATGCTGTTAAATGCGGAAGAAGAACCTGAAAGAATATATTACCCGAAAGTGTAGTACTTTTGCTTTTTTCTTAAAACAACACATCATTGGTATATATATAGAAGTTTTTGACATTCGGAACAATTAATAATAACAATAATCATTTAAATAACTACTAAGTATGCATTAGTTTGACTTCCTCCAAAAAAAGTACATAGGAAAAAAACCGTATTAACCTTGTCTTTGAGTAGCTCGTTTACCAAACATATATTTGTGTAATACCACAACCTATGAATAGACATACATTTAAGTGACAAATCGTCAGAAATTCTTAGATTTACTGATGGATGTACATCTACATCACTGGATTTTAGTTCAGTGAACTAAGAGCTACGATCTCGTGTACGATAGCGAAGGTCCTGAGTTCGGTATCTAGGGGCGGAGCCGCGGATACACACTTCTGAGGATTCCCACACTAGGTCGAGACAGCTATCCGACGTGCTTCAAGGTTTTCAATAGTAGTTCAACAAAGGTCAATGCGTGAATTAATCTATGATAGATAGTTATCCAAACGAAACATTAAAAGAGGGTTTGAAGTAAAAATTCTTCCAGGTCATATGCCAACTAATAACATCGAATTCTATCAAAACATAATTCACGGTTGTTCTCTATCGCAAAAAATAATCAAAGTGACATGTTCACAGAAATAAATAATAATAATGGTAAACTTACTGTCTCTAAAATGTCTGCCAGGAAAATAACTGACTCAACTGCGACGACGTAAATTTGTATTAATTGGTGTTCACGTTTATTAATATTATCATCTCCGATTGTCGGATTATTGCCAGTAGGATTTAATGTATGCAATAATTCAATAGGTCCATGCAATGGAAGGGAAAATCGATCCTATAGCAATGTAATTATTGAAAAAATTATGTATCTATACCTAAAAATGAATTGAATTATGGTATACAGTAATAATTGTACAAAAGAATGTCTCAAGAATTCTCAAAGTTTAAATTACGAACTGATTTCAAACAAACCACCATTGAAACTCGGAATAACTAAACGGTCGTTATATCCTAGTATGGGTTCGTGCGTGAGACTGAAGATCCTGGATTAGATTTCCGGTGCCAGGGTCCTGGTTGCTCACTGAAGAGTCCCATATCGGGATAAAACATCTGTCTAGTCCTCTCAGATTTTCATTGAGGGTGTAGGTAAGATCACTTCGTGGTTTAAACTGAAAGTTCTACAATTTCCACAAAACCCTATACTAAGAATATTTTAAGTTAGGAAAAAATTAATCAGCTCACTACATACAAGCCTTAATAACTCAGCACAGTTCACGTATCGACACCGAGCTACAGTTTATAGTGTGTTCGTATGTGAGAGATTATGACGTAATCTGCCTGCTCAAACAGAAGAAGGAAATATGAAGTCTATAATTATTAAGATTTTGAAGCAAACAAATTATAGACCTTTGATAAGTTAGCTAAAAGAATAGATCAAGCACAAAGGACTTCGAACTGACATTTTTCTTCAGTATTCCTAGTGTTACGTATTTGATCTTATCAAATACGATACATCTAGTACTTGAAAACTTAATAGTGACATTCTAAATGCCGCTAATCCCTTAGATTTTCCAGTGCTTGAACCCCAAACTGAAGATAAAGGTCCGGAAGTATGAAAAGAAGCTTTACCTTCAAGGTTAGTTTGTGCACAGGAAACAAGGGCATATTTATAGGTAAATTGGTGACTTTGATATTCCATGCGCTTCTGGGTTGTTCCAATACTTTCAGTCAGTTACTAGTACTTCAATAAAGTTGTTTGGAACGCACATTTCGCCCCATTTGGTGCTCGTCAGCTGGATGTGCCCATCATATTCCAGTGCTCACACTGGGATGTGAATGAAGGTGTAGTTTTGTTAAAAGATGAAATATATTCATTAGCTGAATACAGACCAAAATTATTAATTGTACATAAAATGAGTTACGTAACAATATAGACTTTTCAACTGAAACGAAATATAATCAAATAGACATGAAAAACTTAATAAATTAAACAAACGTACAGCAAAACGTTAAGGGAATCAAAAAGAGTGGGGGAAAGTAATAATAATGGAAAATAGTATGAAATGTAAAAAGCATTCGTTGATTAACTAACTAACCCCCGTTAAAATACTTTGATGATTATCAGTTGTTATTAAACGTTCATTGATACGTTTTATTGTTGTCCGTAAACGTTCTGGAAATTCAGATGAATTTGATATCTAATAGAGGAAATGAAAAAAAGAAACATTTAATATTTCAATTTGTTAATAATAAAATCGGATAATTTCCAACAACGAAAATGAGAACAAGGTCAGCAAGTGGAATAAAAAAATGTGTACCTACTTGATTAATTAGACTGTGATCAGTGCAGATAAAAAAAAAACTGATTCAGTTTAATTTGTAATGGGTTTGGACCACGTGGTTTCAATATGTTTAACTGAAATTTGAACAGTCTTGGTTGCTATATGTGGATCCAGAGCAAATTCTTTCGATATGGTCATTATGATACAAATTCATACAGAATAGATGTAATGTGGCTAGTAACGGAGTCCAGGGAATGCGTTTCGTCCTATTTGGAACTCTTCAGGTTGATGTAACTGCTAATTAAAACCGATCAGATTTCAGTCGAAATATCAACAACGGGATAATTCAAACCGATACAAACCAAAGTTCGTACCAATTTCACCAGTGGAAAGCGTGTACGACATTTGAGACGAAAGGTACTGAGGTGCAGGTACATCGAACTGACGAGTCACAAATGGTGGAAACGGATGTCTTGGGTTCCATCTCGAATCACATTACTTCCGTTCTATATAAACATAATTCAATGTTCTCCAGTTTTTGGTGGTTTTCTCAGATGTATCCAGCGTTTTCAATATAATTCTCCTTATATTTATGATTTTCATCCATCATGTTAAGAGGCGCTATATAGGCTTGTCTATGGTAGACAGTGGCGGATAGCTTCAAATGCTTGAAATAAATTCTTAATGCAGCATAACTCCAATAAATGAAAGGAAAAATTACTGAAAGTGTTAGATGCAACAGACTTATTGAACATTGAAAACAGTGTACATATAATTTGAACCATAGCAATTACAATAAAATAACAACTTCAGATAATCAATAATTTATAATTTATTTGAACACATAAACATTGGTACAGAGGGGCACCAAATATATATGTCATACAAATCATTTGGTTTGTGTAAGGTTTGGAATACTGCCCGCGCGTCCAAACCAAAGGAGGTGGTTTTCTTAAGGAGACACTCGCCAGGCCTTTGACCTAGAGGCATAATCCATAAGGCAGTAGAGCGACGTTGAGAGATGCAGCCACATGATATCCAGTAACCAACAATAGGTTCCCAAGCTTTTTGTTCCCTCAGGATCCTGCAGCCCATGTGCACCATTGGTTTGGAATCGGTTTTCAAACTCTCCTAGATGTATCTTCCGTATCCATCAACCCGATTAAAGCGCCGGAGATTCGCTTTTCATCCTCTCAACTTTGTGATCAACACACGCGCCGCGAGAAAGAAGTGGGCAGGATATTCCTGGCAGTGGTTGTATACGCATGGCCATGTGAGACCATTTTAAGAGGAGAAGCTAACTCTTTCCACTTTTGGCCGTACCAGGGCATGGATATTGAAGAAAAGAGGAACACAGCAATTAATAAATGATTACTTAAACACAATGAAAAGAGAAGAATGATATCAAATTCACATACTTACTTGAATAGGACCAAATAGATTAAGAATCTAGACATGGAAATTAATTTTATGAATAAGAAATTACATAAAATACATTTTATAGAAACATAAAATCTCCACAAATATACACAATTGATATGATTATATTATATATTTAATGAAATTATAATTTATCAAGATTTATTTTCATTAGGATTAAACTCTATTAAGTCATTAAATATTGAATAAACTTCATATCATTCAGTTGGTAAACTCAATGTTGTTCAATATTGAACTGTATAAAAAGCCCTAAATGCATGAACTACTAATTTTGAGATTATTTTCAGAAATACATACATCTTCCTTGTACAGATAGTAAGTAATCAGCATAAATTTGTGAATTATCGTCATCTTACTAATCAATTTATAAGTTTGTGGTAACTTGACTCTAAATTAAACTTTACAATTAAAGATTATTTGATACTATCTGACTATTCAGGCAGCAGCAGACAGAGAAGGGCTCGAACCTAAGGTCCAATCATGGAAATCTCATTCCATGAACAATTTAACCAAATTTTCATATACGTTGATCTTAGCATTTGTTCAACATAACCGTAACCCATGCAATACTGTTCGTTTGAGTAGATTGTGGTTCACTATATATATACAACACACTTCCAGTCAATAAAAGTTTACGATCTCATTAACTGGATGTATACTCCTTAATTATATAGAGTGCTGGAGACATAAATACGTGCATAACTACTTACTAACGTCTGTTAACCCTCGTCGAGGAACATAAGCCACCCACCAGGTCTCTATCCAACCCTGTCCTAGGCAATTGTTTTCAGTTGTTACTCATCCTTTTCATATCTGCTTCCGATTCCCGACGTGTGTGTTCTTCGGCCTTCCACTTTTTCGTCCTTGCTTTGCCAACCTTCGCCTTTACGTTTGCATCAGATCCACCTTGTTCATCGATGGTGCTTCTCAAGTATGTAATAGATTCCACATCCTCCAGAGCTTCTCTATCAAGTGTGATTGGGTTGGTGTTCTCCGTATTGTATTTGAGGACCTTGCTTTTTCCCTTGTGTATGTTGGGGCTTACTGATGAAGAGATTGCTGCTACACTAGTCTTCATATGCATGTGTTCATGTGTATCGCATAGAAGAACCAGTCCATCTGCGAAGTCCAAATCGTCTATTTGGTTCTGAGCTGTCCATTGTAGTCCGTGCTTTCCCTCAGATGTCGAGGTCTTCATAATCCAATCGACCTACAGAAGAAAGGCAAAGGGTGAGAGTAAGCAGTCTTGTCTGACTCCCGTCTTAGAATGCATCTGTCAGCTGGCCACAATGCACCACCTTGCACTGTAGTCCGTCAGATGAATTCTTGATGATGTTGATGATCTTCTAAGCTGTACTATAGTATCGAAGAAGTTTATATAATGTTCTCCTATGCACACTGTCAAACGTCTTCTCATTGTCGATGAAGTTTACGTAGTGACGAGTTCCACTTAACTGATTGTTAAACAATGATGCTTAGGGTCGCGATTTGGTTCATGCACAACCGATCCTTACGTAATCCAGCCTGCTGATCTCCAAGATACACGTCTACTGCGTCTTTCATCCGATTCAGCAACACTCTGTTGGAAACGTTTCCTGGTACTGATAGCAATGTGATTCCTCTGTAGTTTTCACATTTGCTCAGATCTCCTTTCTTTGGTATCTTAGTGAACTATCCTTCTTTCCAGTCCGTTGGCACATGTTCTTCTTCCCAAATCTTCCTGAATAGAGTGTGAAGCATGTTTGCAATTACTTCTATGTCTGACTTCAGAGCTTCACTTGGTATATTGTCAGGTCCTGTAGCTTTCCCACCCTTCATTTTTCTGATCTCAATCCTGATTTCTTCGACCGTTGGTGGAGTGACATCTACAGGAAGATCTGTTTGCTGCTTCGATGTCCGGTGTTTTCAGTGAGGCTGGTCTATTCTCGAGTTCCTCGAAAAATTCTACCCATCTATTCTTTTGTTCTTGAATCTCGGTGATTGGTTTGCGTTCCTTGTCCTTGATCAGTTTCTCTTGGTTTATTTATTTTCCAGCTAGTTTCTTCGTTGTGTCATATATTCAGTCAGTCAGTCAGTTACATCGTAGAATCAGGAATATATATGCATCGATCCAAGTTGCCATACTTCATTAGAACAACAAGATGAACACGGAATTCATAGAAGTAGTTAATTCAATGGTGGTAATATATTTTCCTCTCTTGAAGCGTTTTTCGCCCTTCCACGTATTTCAGTTGAATTATAGTAGTACACCAAACTTAAAACCTGATAAAATGCCCTAATCGCTATTCAGATAGCAGAATGTCATAACATGTTAAACACTAAAAAAAGGAGACAAATACTGAACTTCATTGGAATCATAAACCAATCGAAGTCAAACAACTGTTGGAAACCTAGAACAATATTGGATAACTATTTCTTTGTAGCATGGGGATTCTCAGCTGTACACCTACACTTTAATAATCATGTGCTCATAAGCGAATAGCCTCGAGGGGAAATTTACAGAATTCTAGGGAGAAACCGTGACTAGTGGAGTTTAAAGGTATCGCTTTTGAGGAAGGTGCTCAGTGAAGATAATGGATGATGACTACGCATAACGCGCGTTTGAATGGAATTAAACTTGTCCACCATAGGAGCTTGGTTTAGTTGTTCATAGGTTAAACGCTCGTTCACGAGACCGAATATGTTAAGTCTGGTCTCCGGTAGCAGATTCGTGCATGCGCACTGCTGAGAAGTACCATAGTAAGATGAACCAGCTGTCTTGTTCATCCATGTTTTGAATAGTTACCTAACTTAAATTGGTTCGGGATCTCAATATAATAAAATTATTAATTATTGATTTGCAACCAATGTCATGTTTGTTTAGCCCTTTAGCGCTAATATATTTTTTTCGATCAAACTGAAATACGACTACCACTTTCAGTGACTCCAAATCATGTGTATTATATCTTTTATCCTCAGTTGTTTGAAGGTGATCAATGAAAAACCTTGTTATTAGGTTTTGTGCCGAGTGCATACGATCTTGAGGAATTCGTGATTCCCATCTGATTCATTAAGCACTAGGATTGCCCCATCACATTCATTTAGTGTCAACACCTCATATTTACAGGAGGTTGATAACGACCCGAATCCCTCAATCGTATTGAGCATCAGCTAGCGCGATAGCTTCAGTTCGAAAAACTGTCTCAGGTTGCTGCCAACCATTTAGCAAGTAGAAAAATATACTTTATTGTTAAATAATCGCTTTCCACTTACAGAGTACAAATAATAATCAAATACTTGACATAGACAATGCATTACTTCACCAGCAATCGGCTTCAAAAGTCTCATCATTTGTAAGTAACGGCCTATTACAGAATAAAACAAAAAACAAAGACAATTTACCAGGTATTCAATAATTGAATAAGAAAATTTGGTTGGGTTCAAGTGACAAGTCGATATCGCTTGAGTACTTTCTATATCCCTACCCCCCTCTATCACGTGACACATTTGAATTCAATAATCTGACCGTTTGGTGGAAACCAGTTTTATAGGCCAGAACAAAACTACCACTAATACACAATACAGAGTAGTAAGTAGTATCAAAGTAAGATGTATTTTACAATATAAGAGTCTCTTATATATAATGTAG